CATATATATCATACATATACAGTACTTTTTATATCTATACATATATAAACATGACTTAAGCAAATTAAAATCCGCACACCCAAACCGTAGACTATATTTAAACATTGTTGATCCATACCACAATGCCACAGAGTATTAAATACATAAGCAAAATAAAGTTTTTTGGTTTGTTTTTTTTTTTAACCAGAACAAGTCAAACAAGCCCTTCTTAGAGAAGAGATTCTGACTTCAGGAACATACACCAGTTGCTGCCAAGTGGCCAACTCATGTGTGTCATAGTAGAACTATGCTGTGTAGGGTTTTCAATCACTGATGTTCTGGAGGTAGAATCCAGGCCTTCCTTCTGGGGTACCTCTGGGTGGAGTGGAACCCCCAACGTTTCAGTTAGCTGCCAAATGTATTGACTGTTTGAACCACCCAGGAACTTAAAGGATCAGTATTCTCTAATTTCTCAGTTCTTTTGTCATTTAAAAACCTCCGTCAGGTCCTGATAACTTGAATCAGCATTTACTTGAGCTTGCACGGTTGGGTAATACTTTCCCAAATATTGAATGAAACGGAGTTACAATAGATGAATCATTTTAGCTGTAGTGGGCCTTTCATTTGTGAAGCGTAAATCTACTTTTGAGAGCTAAATGTCCACATGGTAAGCTTGGTAGGGGGACACAGGAGGACTTGGTCTGACTAGTGTCCAGCTGCTCTTTCTGGCATGAGAGGTGTGAGAGAGCAGTTCCAGGTAAGTCTGGCTGATGCTGATGCTGGAGTAGCATAGTTACCCTGTAAAGTGCCAACATCCCAACACCCAACTCGGTTCCCTGAGTTGAGACATTTCCAATAAACTCTTGTCAGTTTCAGAGACAGCATAGCAACTATGAACCTGGCAGCGGGCCTGTGTGCTCTTTAGACCCTGTTGGATGCTCTGGTTTTTGGAGTTTGTACTTCTTGTAGTACAGGCTGTACTACTGTTCGTTGCAAGAAAGTAAAATTCACAGCTTGTGGTCTCTAGTGAAATGTCTGAAAATAAAGCAGATCACGGTGACAGATCAAAGAGGTGTATTTGTTAACCAAGCATTAGTTGCTTCTGCTAATAAATATTAAAAACAAAACAAAAGGCAGGGCTCCCCATGATAAGGAGGTTCACACCACTTTTCCTGCAAGTTGAGAAGTTTCTAAAAGCTACTTGCCTCATTACCCTATTTGATTCGACTCTTGTTTTGGGGGATGTTCAACATTCCTAATAGTACCTGGCACTTATGGGGGAAAAAACACTCAAGTATTTGTTTGGACTTCATTCAGGAATATCATTGGCAATTTTCTAAACATTTCATCCATTAGGTTTTTACCCCCCAAATCAAACCCACTACCATCATCAATTCAACTTGAACTCATTGTGACCCTATAGAACATAGCAGAGCTACTCGGCAGGTTCTCCGAGGCTGTCAGTCTTTACAGAAACAGACGGTCTCAGCTTTCTCTCAAGGAGCAGCAAGTGACTTCAATTTGCCAACCTTTTGATTAGCTGTCCAATGCTTAACCTAATGTGTCACCAGAAATACTTACCTGTCAGTAAATGGCCCTAAAATTGCTGTTGGCAAATAGTGACTAATTGCTAGGCAAATTCCAGAAGATATTGTTGGAAAGGGTAGAGTTATTGAAGCTGGATTTGAATACTGGCATGTAAAACTATAAAGCCATATGTTGTTGTTGTTAGGTGCCATCGAGTCGGTACTGACCCATAGTGACCTTATGCACGGCAGAACGAAACACTGCCCGATCCTGAGCCAACCTCACTACTGTTGCCACGCTTGAGTCCATCAATGCTGTCACTTGGCCAATCCATCTTGTTGGGGGTCGGAAATGTCGTATTTTCACTTAAGACAACGTTAAGATGAGTGATTTCTTAGACTACCTTTTTTTATCACTTCAATGTTGTTGTTGTTGTTAAGTGCCATTGAGTTGGTTCCAACCCATAGTGACCCTGTATAGGGTTTCCAAGGAGCAGCTGGTGAGCTTGAACTGCCGACCTTGCAGTTCAAATGGCTTTACAGTCTGATGCATTAACCCACAGTGCCATACCAGGACTCCATCACTTCAATAGTAAATAATTAATTTAAAATAAATAGCAGCATGATAAATGGAGAAAAGATTGAAGTTGTCAAAGATTTCATCTTACTTGGATCTCTAATAACCAACACTCATGGAAGCAGCAGTAAATAAATAGAAGAATGTATTGCATTAGGCAAATCTGCTGCAGAAGACCTCTTTAAAGTGTTTAAAAGCAAATTCCATTTTGAGGATTAAAAGGCACCTGACCCCAGTGTCATGGTATTTTCAATGCCTCACACGCATTCTAAAGTTGGACAGTGAATAAGGAAGACTATAGAAGAGTTGCTGCATTTGAATTATGGTGTTGACAAAGATGATTGAAAGGATCATGGATTGCCAGAGAATGAATGAATCTGTGTTGGAAGTAGAGCCAGAATGCTCCTTGGAAACAAGGCCTGGAGCGTTGTCTGTCATACTTTGGATGTGTTATCTGGAGACACCAGTCTCTGGAAAAGGACATGAAGCTTAGCAAAGCAGAGAGTGAGAAAAAGTACCCAGCGAGATGGACACGCTGGTTGCACCAATGGGCCCAAACAATTGAGAAGATGATGCAGGACTGGGCACTTGCTCGTTCTGTTGTGCATACGGGCACTGTGAGTTGAACCCAACTCAAAGGCATCTACCTACAACAACCATCATACTTTTGTGCAAACAACAACAACAAAGTGAAATGGTGGTACTTATGCAAATACCTGCTGAGGGGAGGGAGATGTTGGCAAACAAAGGTGAATGTTATTTGCATGAAAATACAATATTGGTGATAATAACTAAAATCCTAAAGCAATAATTTCATTAATGGCATTATTTCTTAGAACAAGGGTAACATATACTATTCTTGCTGTTAAGTACCACTGAGTTGGGCCGAACTCATAGAGACCCTACTAAGGTTTCCAAGGAGCAGCTGGTGGGTTTGAACTGCTGACCTCTTGTTTAGAAGTCCAGTGCTTATCCTACAGTGCCACACCAGGCTCCAATTAGGCCTATGCAATCCAAAGAAAATAGCTAAGTTATAATTGAAAAAAAACAGTAGTTATTATTGGGAAGGCTTGTTGTTATTAGGTGCCATCGAGTCAGTACTGACTCATAGCGACCTTATGCACAGCAGAACAAAACACTGCCCGATCCTGGGCCAACCTCACAATTGTTGCCACGCTTGAGTCCATCGATGCTGCCACTTGGCCAACCCATCTCGTTAAGGGTCTTCCTCTTTTTGTCTGACCCTCCACCTTACCAAACATGATATCCTTCTCCAATGACTGGACCCTCCTGACAATATGTCTGAAGTATGAGAGTTGAAGTTTAGCCATCTTGGCTTCCAAGGAGCACTCTGGCTGCACTTCTTCCAAAACGGATCTGTTGGTTCTTTTGGCAGCCCATGGCACTTTCAATATTCTCCTCCAACACCATAATTCAAAGGCATCAATTTTTCTACAGTCTTCCTTATTCACTGTCCAGCTTTCACATGCATATGAGGTTATTGAAAATACCATGGCTTGGGTCAGGCGCACCTTAGTGATGGCAAAATTGTAGCATTTAAGGTGTTATACTGTATTTAATACATTGTGGTAGTGGTGCGCCATTGATTCAGTTCTGACTCATTGTGACCCTGCATAGGGTTTCTGAGGCTGTACATTTTTAGTGTAGCAAAAAGCCTCATCTTTTTCTCACGGAGCCACTTGTGGATTCGAACTTCTGACCTTGAGGTTAGCAGCACAATGCATAACCAGTATGGTAATTTAGTATAGATAAATTAACAAGAGAGATACAGAGATTTAGAAAGAGAGAGAGAAAAAGAAATAGAAAGATAGAAAGAAAGAAGGGAGGGAGGGAGAAATAAAGAGAGAGAGAGAAAGAAAGAATGAAAGAAAGAGATTGAAACAAAGAAAGGAAGAAAGCAGGAAAGAAAGTAAGATTCACGCACAGGCATGCAGGGATCAACAAACCAAGAGCCCGAGAGTAAACATGACCCACAACCAGTTTCCATAAATAAAGTTTAGCTGGAAAACAATGGTGCTAGACAGTATTTCAGTCCCCCAGAGATGTCCAGTCCTAATACCTGGAACCCATGAGTATGTTACCTTCCATGGCAAATGTGAGGAAGTGTCTGAATCGTGATGAGATCATGCTAGCAGATGCTAATAGACAGATGCAGAAGGAGGAGGACATGGAAGATGAGAAGCGCTCCACCTGCTTCTGCTGACTTTGAAGATGGAAGAAACGTCTGGAGACACGGAGTACAGTCAGGCTGTACAGTCTGGGGCCCTCAGTCACAGGCAGGGGAAAAATAAATAAATAACAAAGGCCATAGGCCTCCAATCACAGGAGCTAAATTCTGCCAATGTTCCAGATAAGCAAGGGAAAAGATTCTCCTCTAGAGCCTCTAGGAAGCAACATCATCTTGGTAATACTTTGAGTTTGGCCTGGTGAGAGCTATGCTGGACTCCGGCCTCCAGAATTGGAAGACAGTAACTTTGTGTGGTTTAAACTATTGAATGGATGTTAATTTGTTATGACAGCAATGGAAATGGAACACTATAGTGACATCCATTTATTTATGAACTGTCTGCGGTCATGTTTGTGCTGCCATGACAGAGGAGAGCACATTGTCCCTAAAGCCTAAAATACTAACCAACGGACCCTTTACAGAAAAAGCTTGCCAACTTCACAAACTAATTGCTGCTATGTTTTCTTGGCTCTGGGCTAAGTATTTAGCATTCAGACTGACTTTCTGTAATGGCTATGATTTTGGTCCCCGTTTTACAAAGGGAAAAAATGGAGGTAGGAAGATTAACTCAGTGACCAAGGTAAGCCACAGAACCAGTGGTGAGCAGGGACTCAAACCTGAGTCTAGCTGACCGCTGCACCTTGCAGAAGGGAGCAAACATGCAGGCGCTCACCTGAGGCATCTTATCGCTGGCAGAAGGCGATGGGGAGCTCTCGGCTGGGTACCAGTATGCCCAGGTGCACCATCCCGACAGGCTCTTGGTCGGTGGCCACGATGTCGTATTTGCGAACGATCTGGAACACATGTGCACAAGAAAATCAGAATTAGCTCCTCTGTTCTCCTGCTTGGTGGCGGCGCACAGAACACGGGGATTATGGAAATGCAGTCTGAACACTTTACCCAGCAAAGAGCCAAGTGGAGCTGGAGCTCAGCTAATCGGCGGCCGACGCACATTCGTTTTCCAATGCCAAACGGTAGGTGTGCAAAGGGATTGATCTTCTTCTCTTGAAGCCAACGTTCAGGCCTAAACTGACTTGGCTCTTCGAAATTGTCTTCATTGGACCCCAACACCTGGGTGTTTAGCGTCAACACTGTCTAGAAACACACAGAAATACACAGCTCTTGAACAGACCAGAAGAGAACTTTTGAACAACAAAATTGACCAAAGTGATTACCTTGCAAATGTAAGAGTCACCCATGAATGTGTAATAGGGGGACTGCCATCATGTATGGCATGCTTACCATGTAGCACCAAGAACCTGAAGATTCTACATCGCATCCTCACCACAACCCCATGTGCTTGGTCTGCTTACTCTCCCCATTTTACAGATGAGGAAGTTGAGGCTCAGAGGTCATGCAACCCACTTGAGGCTCCACAGACTAAGATGAAATTGAAGCCAGGTCTTTGTCCCCATAGTCCCTTATTCCTAATAGGATGCTATAAACTCAAGTCTCAAAGCAAATGCTCTCCTGGTAACAGTTTTAGGGAGTTCTGATGACTACTTAGAAATTGCACTTTTCAAAGCTTTATAAGATACAAATGGGAGTTCTGGTAGTGACGCTGCAGGATAATGCTCTGGACTTCAAGATCAATTTGAACCTTAAAGTTGGCAGTTCAAACCCTCCACCTGCTCCTCAGAAACCCTATATAGGGTCGTTGTGAGTTGGAATTGACTTGACGACACTTAACAACGACATAAGGTAGAAACACACAAATATACTTACTCCTTTAGGTAAAACGTATTCACCCAGAACAGTTGCCTTGTCAAGAGTCCGAGTTGTGAATGGCACACTTGGAGTGAGCCTGAAAGAAAAACAAAACACAAAGAAGAGGTGAAACTGAGATGTGAAGGTAGGTACGGACCACAATCCGGTTTTTGTGCTAATGTGAATGTAGACTCTGGTTGAATAAATAACTAGTTCTGGTGTGGCGCTATGGGTTAATGTGCCGGACTCTGTAATGTTGGTTTGAACTGCAAGGTAGGTGGTTCAAGCTCACCAGCTGCTCATAGGAAACCTTTTACAGAGTCGCTATGGGTCAGAACTGACTCAATGGCACTTAACAACAGCAGCGTACATGTTTAGATTCCAAAAGACCGTATGATCACAACTCTTCATGAAAATGCTTCTTCCTGATATTCCCCTCGTTCCATTTTCTTATCTTATTGCATTGGTTAAGCCTTCACTGGTGGTGGTGGTGGTGTGCCGTGGAGTCAGTTCTGACTCATCACGACCCTGTATAGGGTTTATGAGGCTGTAAATCTTTACGGGAGCAGAAAGCCTCATCTTTCTCCCATGGAACAGCTGGTAGTTTCAAACTGCTGACCAGGTTAGCAGCCTGACTCGTAACCACTACGCTACCAGAGCTCCTTTACTACCTACTGTCAACTCCGTGTTACGGCAACTGCATGTGGTAGGGTAGAGCTGTTCAATAGGGTATTCTCAGCTGTAATCCTTATGCAAGATCACCAGACCTTCTGAAACACCACTGGGCAGGTTCAAACCCTAACTGTATGTTACTTGTTGTTGTTAAGGGTTGTGGAGTTGGTTTCGACTCATAGTGACCCTGTATACAGTTTTCAAGGAGCAGCTGGTGAGCTTGAACCACCAACGTTGCAGTCCAGCACATGAACCCGCAGCACCACACCAGAACTCCAACTTCAGGTTAGTAGTCAGTGCAAATTCATTGAATCACCCAGGGACCTAAACCTCTACTGCATGACTAATTGTTGTTGTTGTTAAGTGCCGTGGAGTCAGTTCCTTATACAGGGTTTCCGAGGCTGTAAATCTTTACGGGAGCAGAAAGTCTCATCTTTCTCCCGCAGCACAGCTGGTAGTTTCGAACTGCTGACCCTGAGGTTAGCAGCTTGATTCGTAACTACTATGCTACCAGAACTCCTTGTTAATAGCAGTTTTCCTTTGTCTCATTCCAGACTTTAATATATGTTTTTGTTTGTCATATTTTACCCTGAAGCCCCGATGTTGGTTCTAGGGTTTTTGCTTATTTGTTGAATCTACCCTTCACAAAGTTCAAGTGACCCCTAGAAGCCAGAACCCTAAGGTCTGTTCTAGTCCCCATGCTCTTTTCTTTGATAAGTGAAATCAATTTCATTCTAAAATCGATTTCATTCTAATCCTAGGATGGTGTGAGTTTTCTTTTCCAGAAAAGAATTTTGAAAGAACATTTTATTCCAGAGATTCAAAAACAAAATGATCTCTGTACCTTATCAAAGATGTCTCTAAGTCTTATCATATAATACTATGTTTCCTTAGCTGAGCTTTCATTTCAGATCCTTCAATCAAGCACCTAACTTTATAACTGGTACTTCCAGCATTCATTAACCAAAACCAAACCAAATCCCTGCTATTGAGGCAATTCCAACTCATGCAATGCCACGCAGGACTTCTGAGACTATACATCTTTACAGGGACAGACAGCCTCATCTTTCTCCCACAGAGCAGCTGGTGGGTTTGAACCACCAGCCTTGAAGCTAGCAGCCCAACACCTATCCCACAGCACTACCAGTGCTCCTGAGAGCATTTATTTGCACCTTAATATTTAATGGTGACTTGCAAGATTTCATAGAATTTCCCCAAGTGATTTAGGAAACATGTTACAGAAAACACACATATTCTAGGGTCCCTTTTCTGCAGCTTCCTAAATATTTATGAATCAACTGTGGGGGTTGTCCATGGGTGGGGGCCACCACGTGATGCCTTTTAGAGGATAATTTTCAGACAGATTCATATTGACTTCGGAGTATGTTCTTACCTCATAGATTCTTTCAAACAGGCTTTTAAATATGGCATATTTCTCAAATCCTCTGCCTGTGGCATCTGGTTCTCAGGAAGTACTGTTTGAATTTCTTCACGAAGTTTTTGTTGTACTTGGGGATTTCGGGATAAATTGTAGAGAATCCACATTAAGCTGTTAGCCGTCTGGAAGGCAAATGGACACACTTTTAAGATTCTGCAATGAAATTGACTTAACCTAGTATCAGCTGAACAAAAACTGATGACTAGCACCTTGTTCTGCAAAGCTATTGGTGATACTTTTTCACATGTGCCTTGAAGAAATCCAATAGACAAGAAGTAGATTTATTTAGAAAATATATCAGGTAAGGATAGCTCTTTTACCAAAGGAATCAAAATAGATTTCTTTAGATAACCTTAGGACACATACAATCAAGTTGGAAACAAAACTTGCTTGAGCACAAATGTTGTTAAGTGTCATCGAGTCCGTTCTGACTCATAGTGGCCCCGTATAGGGGTTCTGAGGAGCAGCTGGTGAGCTTGAACCATTGACCTTTCAGTCCAGCGTATTAGCCACACCAGGACTCAGAAGGAGTATTGTCAAGCATGACTTTTATTTTACAGTAAACTTGCACAAGAAACTGCCTTACGCAAGTTTAAAAGAAAGATCATTTTGTCCCATCCTCAAAAATTACCACAAAAATAAAAAGGCAACATCTCCACTTGGTGTTCTAGCCACTGCAAAAGAATGCAGGAAGATGGCAACCCTAAAATAAGACGTTCGAGTATCGAGTTGAGAATGTCAAGGAACTGGCTCCGGTTTCTGACAAAGGCCTGTGTTCCTTTTAAGTGGCACCCTTAGCTTCCTTTCCAAAGACAATGGGAAGCAGACAGTGGAGCTTTTAGCTCTGTAATAATATTCACCACTCGTCATCTGGCACATTTGTTTTTCTGGGCCCGTTTTAGCTCATTTAAACCAACTCTTCCCCCTGGAAATCGTCAGACATGAAGACGCTTTTGCTCTGTGCCATGTGCCACTCATGCAATCCAGCCAAGTGCAAGATGTTGCTGAACCAACCATGTGTATTATTTTTGGAGGAATATGCTTACAAGGCCCGTTTGTTCCTGTCAGAGGATCAGTGGCCTCGACTACAAATAAACTGTGCCCCCCGCATCATGACAGAAGTGCAATTGACAAAACAGGAAGAGGGTGTAGCCACCAAATTAGATACACGTTCACATTTCTCTGATTTTCCAAATGTGCTTTTCAGAATAGGCAGGATTAAAAAAGAAACAGATTTTCAGTCGATCAATGGGTGCCTCACCGCAAGTACCAAATAGAGTTTCCATAATGCAGATAACTGTAGCCTTCACCAAAGTCATGTAAGACAGTCTGGGCTTCTTAGGACAACAGCCGGAGGGGTTGATGGGAGACTGGAGGGGAAGTGGCCTGGGAAACCTCAGGGGCATAAACTATCCTGGCTTGACCTCTGTGTTGGAGGCAGTGGACCTTGCAATGGCCCATCTGGCTTACATCCTCCACCCAGCGTCCACGTTTCAGAACATCTATTTGATTAGGTTACACCTCTGCTTAGATACCTCCAGAAGCTTCCATAACAGGGATAAAAGAATCCAAATGTTTTTCCAAGGCTTTCAAAGCCCTAGTTAATACGGCCCATCTAACTCTCTAATCTTACCTCTACCACACTGGCCCCTTGTCCAGCTACATTCCTCCTTCTTCTGCCCCAGGAGAAGTACGCTCTCTCCCTGCCTCTACTGCTCTTCTGCCTCCAGATCCTCATATGGCTGCTTCCTTCTCATTTCAAAGTCAGCTCTACTACCACTTCCTCAGAGAGGGGACCATCCCTCCATCTCCATTCCTCTCTATTCCCTACCACCGTCTGAAATGTTCACACAGTTTGTTTCCATGACAATTTTCTCTCTTCTCCAAGAAATCAAACAACGTATTGCATTGGGCAAATCTGCTGCAAAAGATCTTTCTAAAGTGTTCAAGAGCAAAAATGTCAGTTTGAGGACTAAGGTGTGCCTGGCCCAAACCATGGTATTTTCAGTAACATCATATGCATGTGAAATAAGTGAATAAGGAAGTGAATAAGGAAGACTGTAGAAAAACTGATGCATTTGAGCTATGGTGATGGAGATGAATATGTAAGGTACCATGGGCTGCCAAAAGAACAAACAAATCTGTGTTGGAAGAAGTGCAGCCAGAATGCTCCTTAGAAACCAAGATGGCCAGACTTCATCTCTTATACTTAGGACATATCATGAGGAGGGACCAGGCCCCAGAGAAAGACTTCATGCTTGGTAAAGTGGAGGGTCAGAGAAATAGAAGATGAAGACCCCCTGAGATGGATTGGCACAGTGGTAGCAACAATGTGCTCTAGCATAACAGTGATTGTGTGGATGTCCCAGGACCAGGAGGTGTTTTGCTCTGTTGTATTAGGGTCGCTGTGGGTCAGAACTGACTCAATGGTATCTAATAGCAACCAACACTGGTCCGTAGGCTCCATGGGGATGAGAACCTTTGTTTCTGGTTCACAGTGGTTTTCCAGCACCTGGAACAATGCCTGGCATACAGTAGGCACTCAACAGTTGCTGAATTTTCTAACCTATTCAATAAAGGTTTATTTGAGCACCTACAATATGCCAGATATTGTTTTAGGTTCTGAGAAGCTGTCAGTGGAAAGCACTAAATCACTAACCTCGTGGAACTCTGATTTCAGTTGGGGGAGAAAGAAGAACAGGCAAAACATCACTTTTATCATTCTGGGAGCCTCTAGGGATTCAGGAATCCAATAGGAAAGTGACCTAAAATGAATCAAGAGCCTTGTTGTTGTTGTTGCAAAGTGCCGTCGAGTCGGTTCCGACCCATAGCGATCCTGTTTTTATGTAGAAAAAACTCTCCTTTTTCTCCAAACAGGAAACACTGGAGAAGTGGGAAAGAAATGAACTGGTATATATTCTGATGAATGAATATCAATTGGATGTAATGTTGGGCCTCTGAGAAATACACATGTGTGCCACTCCGGTGATAGCTTGAAAAATGCGTCAATTACACCCATGCAAACTTTTATGTTGGTGTCTGGGTTTGGGTTTGGCTACCCTAAGAATCTACTAGGACTTTCAACCACATTGGACACAGAATTTTGATATTTAAAAGAAACTGTTTAATTGACATTAAAGTCAAGTTTTCCAAACTCACAATTTTAAGCAGAAAAAAACAAAACTATCAGATTGGCAGATTCCTTCAATATTTTGATGGTAAGTAACAGGCACAGTCAGGCAGCAAGTCTGTAGTACTTAAAACATAATCACATCCTATTGTTTTAAATCTACATGATCTGTCCTGGCAAGGAGCTCTGGTAGCACAGTGGTTATGAATCGGGCTGCGAACCTCAAGGTCAGCAGTTCAAAACTACCAGCTGCTCCATGGGAGAAAGATGAGGCTTTCTGCTCCCATAAAGATTAACAGCCTCAGAAACCCTGTACAGGGTCGCTATGAGTTGGAACCGACTCCACAGCACATCACAACAACAACAACATTGTTTTAAATCTAGATGATCTGTCCTGGCAGTGTTTGAAACCTCACAGCATCTGAATTCCCACAACTGTTCCTAAGTTTCTCCCAGCACTGATCATCTTCTGCACTGGGTTTTGGAGTCCCTGGATTGGTGCAAATGTTTGGCTGTTAACTGAAAGGTTGGAGGTTCAAGTCCACACTGAGGTACCTCAGCAAAAAGGCCTGGTGATTTACTTAAAAAAACTCAATCATTGAAAGGACTATGGACATAGTTCTACTCTGACCCCTGTGGGCTTGCTATGAGTTGGAGTTAGCTGTATGGCAGCATTTTAGTTTTTATTATTATTTATTTTTTTTAGTCAGTACACAACAGCAACACTGCTGTCGAGTTGGTACTGACTCCCAGTGAACCGATACAGGGTTTCTAAGATGTGAATCTTTATGGGAGGGGCCAGCCTCATCTTTCTCCCTTGGAGGGGCTGTTGGGTTTGAACCAACAACTCACCTTAATTCTCTTGCTACCACATACCTAGGTGCAAAGACTGAGCTCTGGGTTTCCCATAGTATCTGGGATGCGACCCTCCATTTTTCCTAAATGGCTGTTGTTAAGTGCAGCTGAGTCGGTTCCAACTCATAGCAACCCTGTAAAGGGTTTCCAAGGAGCGGCTGGTGAGCTTGAACCGTCAACCTTGTGGTTCAAACAGACTTTTCAGCCCAGCGCAATAACCAGTAGTACCACACCAGGATTAAGTTGTTGTTGTTGCTAATTGCCATTGAGTCGGTTCTGACCCATGTTGTTGTTAAGTGCCGTGGAGTTGGTGCCGACACACAGTGACCCTGTACAGGGTTTCCGAGGCTGTAAATCTTTATGGGCGCAGAAAGCCTCATCTTTCTCCCACGGAACAGCTGGTAGTTTCGAACTGCTGACCTTCAGGTTCACAGCCCGATCCGTAACCACTACGCTACCTGGGCACCTTTTCTGACCAATAGTGACCCTGTATAGGGTTTCCGAAGAGCAGCTGGTGAGCTTGAACTGCCAACCTTGTGGTTCAAACCAACTTTGCAGTCCGGCACATTAACTCACAGCGCCGCACCAGGACTCCAGGACTAAAATGGTGCTCAGCTAATCCTTGTGGAATGAGTAAATGTGAATGACTATTTAAAACGCATCTTGGAGAAATTGTGTCGACCATTTAGTAAAGTAAAATCAGCTTCGCATTACCGTTTCGACCGCGGCCAGCTGGAGTTCCGTGACCGCCGCGTACAGCTCTTTCTTGGAGAGCCGATTGCGGTGGAAAATATCACAAAGCAAGTCTGCACTAGGCGTTTGTGAATACTTCTCTAGCTGACTGTTGACGGACGATTTGACTGTTGGAAGAGAAAAGTGTGGAGAACATTAGTCAGAAATTAAGATGAGGAAAATAGTAAAATAGAGTCTAGATGAAATCCTTCTCACAACATATAAAAGGGTCTTTTCAGGGACACTGACAACAACAACAACAACAAAAGAGCTAAATTACCATCTGATTTAGTCAGTGAAGAGTATGAGAGCCCACAGCAGCTCCCAGGTAGTTCTAATATTGCTAGTTCATACACTATCCTCCGGATGTTGTTGTTGTTGTTAGGTGCCGGCGAGACAGTTCTGACTCATAGCGATCCTATGTAGAGTTTCCGAGGCTGTAGATCTTTGTGGGAGCAGAAAGCCTCATCTTTGTCCTGAGAAGCAGCTGGTGGGTTTGAGCTGTCAATGTTGTGATTAGCAGTCCAGTCCTTATTCTACAGTACCATCAACGTTCCCACCCATGGGTTATCAAGAGCGTCCAGTATAGAAGCAAGAAACCGTGGGGGCACAATGGTTAACACTCAGCTGCTAAACAAAAGGTGGGCTCTTTAGGAGTAAGCTCTGATTATCCGCTCTTCTAAAGATTACAGCCAAGAAAACCCCATGGGACAGCTCCATCCTGTCACATAGCTTACCATGAGCCCAATCCCATGGCTCCCAACAAACAACTAGAGAACAGCATGAAAGGAGGTGGTGAGCTCTGGGTAGCATCAGAACTAGGACGTCACCTGAGTGAGCCACAAATATAGGCAAAGAAATGTTTGGCTCTCAAATTCTGACAAGAAAGGAGAGGAGAACCCCCCCCCCCCATTATGTTACTAAAGACACATATGCACACGCACTTGCATTCATGCAAACACATACATGCAAGTACATGACCCATGCATACTGACAATAATGTAAACTTTTTAAAAATGAATAAAGTACATCGAGGCATGTGTCTCTCCCTCTCTCTCCAACCTGCTATGCAAACAACCCTCAAATTAACTGTAGTGATGCTGATGGTAATAGTGGTGATGGTGGTGATACGATGGTGATAATGGTGGTGATGGTAATGATGATGGTGGTGATGGCGATGATGTTGGATGGTAGTGATGGTAGTGGTGATGATGACGATATGGTGGCAATGGTGATGATGATGGTAGGATGGTGGTGATGATATGATGGTGATGATGGTGATATGATGATGGTGATGGTAATTGCAGTGATGGTAGTGATGATGGTGATATGATGGTAGGATGGTAGTGATGGTGGTGATATGATGGCGGTGATGATGGTGATATGATGGTGAGAATGGTGATGGTGGTGATAGTGGTAATGGTGGTGATACACTGTGGTAGGTGTTATTATTATTACTAGTCCATTTTAGAGACAAAGCAACTGAGCATAAGAAAGTGACATCACACTGGACCCTCCACACCCAGTGAAAGAACTGGGTCATGAGTCAGGTATTTCTGACTGCAAAGCTCTGACTTTGAATCCTTCCTAGTCTCTAAAGAAGATGACAAAAATCCATTCTCTGCCTTTCCCTTAGGTTTCCTTTACATGAGGATAATCCCCAAATTTATGTGTTTACAGAGCCCAAGAGAATCATCTGGAGCACCCCCATTGTAAATCAAGGTGGTCAGTGCAGAGAGCTCCTTCCGGCCTTCCACAGCATCCAGGACAACAGGAGTCCTGCAGGGAGGGTGTGTGGTCAGTATGGGGGTGGCCACTCTTACCTGATTTGAAAATGGTGTCCCAGGCCTGCGTGTGGGCCTGCCAGACCCTGGTGTTGAGGCTCTTGTGCAACTCCACCGGGGTGACCATCATCTTCCCAAACATACTCATCATCTGTGAGGAAAACAATTGACTGTGTGTTCTAAGTCCTCAGTCTCCCAAAGACGATTTCCAGTAGGGAGTAGGGACATTCCAAATAGCGCCAATCTCTGCATCCCTAAAGGAGCCTCGGTGGCACTCTGGGGTAGGCACTGGGCTACTCAAGGTGAGCAGTTCAAACCTACCAGCCACTCCTGGGGTGGGGAAAGATGAAACCACCTGCCCCTATTGAGCTTTACAGTCTCAGAACCCTACATTGTTTCGCTAAGAGTCTAAATCAATTTGATGTCCAAAGGTATTTGCACCTCAAAAGACAAGACACCAAAGGAATCACCCTGGCTTTGCTGCACTTTTCTGGAAGCAGTACCTACTCTCTGGCTTCACCCTGTTGCTGTTGTTGTTGTTGTTAAATGCCATCGAGTCTATTACCACTCACAGTGACCCTGTATAGGGTGTCTGAGGCTGGACATCTTTACGGAAATAGAAAGCCTCATCAGTCTGCAATGGAGAAGCTCGTGGATTCAAACGCTGACCTTATGGTTCACAGTCCAGTGTTTATCCTTATTTAGAGTGCAGTCTAGAGCCACCACGCTCCTGACTTCACCCGATTCCCCGGAAATAGGAAAATTGTGATTTTCTACTGGATTTCTTTGGTCTAAATTTTAAATTAAAAAATTAAAACTATAACTTTCATACTTACTTCAATTTCCAAGAATTCCCAGACTGCAGTCAATTGTAAATATTAGTATAATTCCTATACCGATTTCACAGTTTCTATCATATCCACATAAAACTCAAATCTTTTTTTGAAAATTACAATTTGAAAATTTCAAATTCTTTTAAACCAAATTTTTAACCAACCAGCCTTGAAATGAGTACTTTCTTGACCTTACCTAAGCAAGAAATAACAGGTTTGTTCTTTTATGTATACATACATGTGCATAGATACATTAGACTATGGACTTCCTCTTTTTCTCTGACCCTCCACCTTATGGAAATACTGTGATGCCAATGGTTACATTCTCAACTATAGAACATCAGTCAGGAAACTCGTCTACTAAAGGTGGTGCTTACTGTTTTGATAGCCACAATGAAGTTCAAAGCTTCATCCCCTGAGTTCTTCTGAAGCAGTCCAAATCTCTTCCCATACAACAGAAAGCAGATACCTGTTATTTAAAATAATCACCAATGTTATATAATGACACTGCCCCCCGAAGTCTGTGATGTTAAAAGATTTATTCTGTTGCTCATTTAAAAAAGAGAAGAAAAGGTGGTCTTTGCTAAGAAAAATTCAGAATCCCAAGAACATAGATGAGTCAGAGAGAAGAGAGGTAATCTGTCCTCCGTTTCTAGAAATGACCTCCAGTTCCCATGAATCATCCCCTCAGAACCTCCTGGTCAGAGATGGACAATCCTTAGTCATTTCAGTGACAAAGAAGAGACGTGGGGCAGGAACAAGGGAACCCTTGAATCAGGGTGATGCTGTGTCTGCCCGGAACCCAGCTATGATGTTGGAGCCATTCAATGGATTCTATTGCTTTAATGGTGGCTGGTAGGGAAGCCATTTATGAGAGGAAAGAAAGAAAAGCCAACAATTAATTCTGCGCATTCACCATATAAGGAAGGAGTTCCGGAGTTGCAAAGTTGCTAAGTACTTGGCTGATACCTGAGAGGCTGATGGTTCAAACCTATCTGATGGCTCCACAAGAGAAAGACCTGGAATCTAGAAAACTCTATTTATTATTATTGTTAGGTGCCATCGAGTCGGTACCGACTCATAGCGACCTTATGCACAGCAGAACGAACCATTGCCCGATCCTGGGCCAACCTCACTACTGTTGCCACGCTTGAGCCCATCGATGCTGCCACTTGGCCAATCCATCTCGTTGGGGGGCCTTCCTCTTTTTCTCTGACCCTCCACCTTACCAAACATGATATCCTTCTCCAGTGGCTGATCCCTCCTGACAATATGGCCGAAGTATGAGAGACCGAGTTTGGCCATCTTGGCCTCCAAGGAGCACTCTGGCTGCATTTCTTCCAAAACGGATCTATTGGGTCTTTTGACAGCCCATGGCACTTTCAATATTCTCCTCCAACACCATAACTCAAAAGCATCAATTCTTCTATAGTCTTCCTTATTCACTGTCCGGCTTTCACATGCATATGAGGTTATTGAAAATACCATGGCTTGGGTCAGGTGCACCTTAGTCTTTGCTTTCCAACACTTGAATGAGCCTCTCAGATTGGAAGGCACTCAAAATGTGACTGGGGAAGAGCTGCCTCCTGAAAGTAGAGTTGACCGTGATGATGCGAATGGAGTAAAGACCGTGGGAGAAAAGCCCAAATGAATAGAAACTTAAAATGAAGAGCAACAGCTGTAAACATCCACTGAAAATCGGAACATGGAATGTACGAAGTATGAATCTGGGAAAAGTGAAAGTTGTCAAAAATGAAATGGAACGCATAAACATCGATATCTTAGAAAACCTGATAGTGTGACTGCATTTTGTCACATAGGATCACTATGGGTTGAAAGTAGACCCAACAACATCTTACAGCAATATTCCAACAACATTTACTATCTGCCAGGAACTGAACTAGTACCCTTTTTTGTTTCCATTTCATGAACATATTAACTATGTCTTAACTTTTCGCTTTTTATTTTTGAAACTATTTATAGAAAATCTGAAAGAATAGTACAATAAATACCTACAATTAATGATTACTTCCTCTATGTGTGATTCAATGTGGACGTTTGTGTGTGTGTGTACCGTACCATTTGAAAATAACTTTTAGCTCTCTCCAGACACTTCATGCTTACAGACTTCTGCAGCCACCCCCTAAGATTGAAGCCATTCTCCGGCCTGACTTCTGTGTCATTACCATCCCTGAGAGCATTAGCTTTCGTTCCATGATACATCCGCAGCATACCCTTTGAAAAAGTTCTCCAATTGTCCTCATAATACCTTCTTGGACTCTTTTCTTTTACAACACAGGATCCCCACTAATACCATTTGGTAGGTAGGAGATTAGCTCTCATAGAGCCCCCATAGCACAGCGGTTAAGCTTTCTGCTGCTAATCCAGAGGTTGGCAGTTTGAATCCACCCAGCACCTCCAAGGGAGACAGACCTGGTGATTACGTCTGTAAAGATGACAGCCTGTGGAATCTTATCGGACAGTTGTAGTCTGTTTTGTAAGGTCCCTCTGAGTCAGAATCCATTGAACAACACGCAACAATAAAAATAATTAGCTCTGGATTTACAGAACAGAAGACTGGGGCTGAAAGGATAGATGGTTTCCCACCCCAAAGCTGAGACACGACAGAACCAAGAAGTTTACTACTAATTCCCAGCCTTTTCAATGACATCTGTGTTTCAGTCACCAAACACGGAAATTCCAGTCATTCTTTCAAGGGTTTCCTGTCTGTGTGTTCCACTGGGGGTGGTGTGGGGGAAGGAGGGGTCGGGGGCTGTGGAGGAGGGTGGTGACTCTGGGTGTCATACAAACAAAAATGTTAAAAAAAAAAAAAATTGATCAGTGTTTTCATCATCTTTTATTTCTACCAGTGATTCTGACCTTGACTTTATGATATAATTGTTAAGTTTTCCTTCAAAGAAAAACTTCAGTAAACCAACTAATTTTTCTTTTTTAAAGCAAGTTAACTAAATAGGAGAGGTATTATCACAGAAAAATACTGTGATGTATAAAAGAAAGTTTGAAATTTGGGCAATCATTGTTTCAGAGGTGATGGTTATCTAACCGAAACAAGCATATCAAATGAAGATACTATTTTCTTATTCATGAATGCTTGGGTCTTTCATAGCTAAGCAGCCCACTTGGTACAATCTTCAATAGCACAAATGGTTTTGCTCTTTAATGGGGTGTTGGTGGTATTGCTGATGTGCTGTGAAGCCGGTTACGACTCATAGCGACCCTGTACAGGACTTCTGAGGAGCGACCGGTGGTCTTGAACCACCAACCTTGTGGTTAGTAATCCAGTGCTTATCCTACAGCACCACAACTGGATGCCTGCTGTTTAATAGTGAGTTACAATAATATCACGGCAGCAGCAGAACTGATGCATCGATAAGTTCCAGCATTTCTAAGACACTGCTTGGGAGGGAGCAACTCAGGAGAACTGATTTTCCATTTTGTGGTACACAGTTTGAGTCTGCTGTATGTCTGGACTGTGCAAAAAAAAAAAAAAAAGAATTACACTATTCTTTACACAGGGGTGAGTCTCTTCTGCAATGTCTAACTTTTGTCAAAGTTTGTAATTGTATCATGTGTAGCAGATATTACTAATGGCAGACCCAGCACCCATCTCTTCCCTACAGTTTTGTGGAGAATAACCATCATCTGTCAGTCTTCAGGCAATAAATCAAGATGGGTGTTAAATCCTGATGGAAACTCATTTCCTGATTTCCCAGCCTGCCTTGTAGCAGCCGGAGTAGCTACAACACCCAGATACAGCCAGTGGAACTTAAAAGGAAGCATCCTTTTGCTTTCTTGGTAGAGGGTGGCCATAAAGCTGACTTGGCTCGTTCCTCTCACCTTCTTATGTCTACCTGGAAGGCAGAGGTGAGGCCTGGAGACACAGCAGCCATCCTGCAGCAAGTCAGTCAGTCAAGGATGGATGGTCAAAAGGTAGAAAGGACTTGGGTTGTCATCTGTTTCTGAATAAAAGCCCAAGTCCTTACAAGAACCTAAGGCTCTGCCTGATCTGGTACGTGTGACCTTTTTGGCCTGGGCTCCTTTCATACACCCTCCCCCTTGCTCAGCACCACCATTCACACCTGCAGTGCTTCTACTTCTGGCTGTCTGCACATCCTGTTTCTTCTGCCTGGAACCTTTCCACAGATTCCCTTATGGATTACTCCTTTCCTTCCTTTAAGTCTCACCTCAAAGGTCACCTGGCCTAAGAGGCCCTGCCTCACTTCAATACCTCTTTCATAGTCTTCCTTGACTCCTATTCTCCTTTTCTCTACCCCTTGACAGTATGTATTAACCTATGTTGGCTTGCTGGTTGTCACCCGTACTTGAATCTAAGCTTCCCAAAGGCAGGGCGCCACCTGTTTTGTGATCATAGCTCTTAGCACAGTGCCTGACCCATAGAAGGCGTGTAGTGTTTATTCAATGCACAACCCATAGTGGCAGATATTACTGGAGTGCTTTAAAGAGTTGGTCCTAAGGATGTTATGAGCGTTTCACTGCTCAGCATCAGTGTATGGCTATAGAAGGGTCACCAACAGAGTCACATTTCATCAACAAGCTCACTGGCAAGTCAAATGAACAAGATTTGTAGACACTTACTCTCAAATGACCATTTGTTCAGTTCACTGTACAAGTCTTCAATGCGGCCTCTTTCATCACATAGTTCTTCCATCCTACTCATAAAATCGGCCAAGACCTTACAAGAAAGCAAGCACAAAAGATATTTTAAAACCATTAAAGAAAAAAATAATTAAGGTTCTGTAACTGGTGCTGTAGAATAAAGCACTGGACCACAAGGTCAGTTTGAACCACAAGGTTGGTGGTTCAAACCCACCGGCGGCTCTGGGAAACCCAACACAGATTGCTAGAGTCAGAACTGACATGTGACACTTAACAAGACCAACCTAACTTCAAGCTTTGCTATATTCACTTCTTCTGGAATAACACTAGTTCCATCTTTTTCTGGAAGACTCTACCCTACTCCCTAACAGTTTTGCCTGGGTTATTTCCTAAGCATTTCCTGTAACCACCCTGAAGCTTAAGTTTCAGCTTTTGATGTAAAAAACGATTATGGCAATTTAAGAAAAGAAAAGCATTTCTTCCAGGACTTAGAATGGGTTCATTTTGGTTCCATCCCCTGCTGAGAATTTGTTTCTTCACCCTAGATATCCTGAATCAAAATCCACCATTTAACAAGATCCCCAGATGACTTTTATGAAATCTGGCTAAACTGTAGATTCTAATTCAGTGTACAAGTCATCTGGGGATCTGGTTACATGGTAGATTCTAATTCAGTCTATCATGGGTGGAGAGACAAAACCAATCCAAAGCTCTGGTTTCTTCTAATCAGAACAGGAAATAAACCATGGAGGAGGGATGAGCCAAGTGTCTCGGTTGGCACATCTCAGGGACTGTGATGTTATAGCTACTCAGATTTGTCAGTTCCCTGTCTGAGCAAACAAACATCTCCTTACTGGTGGGTGTTATGCTGAACATGTTGGACTTGGAAGCAAAAGAGCTGCACATTCTGGGCCCAGTTCAGTCTCTTTCTGGACCCAGTTCAGTCTTTACATAGCTTTGTTGTGGATTAAATTGTGCCTCCCATCCCAATATAGGTTGTAAATCCTAACTCCTAGGCACTGTGGGTTAATGCCCCAGACTGCAAAGTTGTTTGAACTGCAAGGTCAGTGGTTCAAGCTCACCAGCTGCTCCTTGGAAACCCTATACAGGGTTGCTATGGGTCAGAACCAACTTGAAGGCACTTAACAACAACAAATACCTGTAGTAGGGAGTTCTGGTGTGGTGCTGTAGAATAAGCACTGAACCGCTAATCACAAGGTCATTGGTTCAAATCCACCAGCTGCTCCTGGAAACCCTATACAGGGCTGCAATGAGTTGTAACCTACTCCAGAGCACTTAACGACAACAGACCTGTGCTTATAATCTCTTGTGGGAATGCGTTTTCTTTGTTATGTCAATGAGACAGTATTAGTGTAGTTGTTGTGAAGTGTTGTTGAGTCGGTTCTGACCCATAGCGACCCTGTATAGGGTTTTCCAGGAGCAGCTGGTGAGCTTGAACTGCCGACCTTGCAGTTCAAACTGCTTTGCATTAACCCACAGCGCCACACCAGGACTCCATTAGTGTAGGGTGTGTCAGAAATCAATCTCGTTTGAGATGTAAAAGAGATTTAACTAAAGATCAGTGATGGAGAAGAAAGGTACCAAGCCACAGGAAGATCACCAAAGAAGTCAAGGAATGCAGGGCCTAGGAGTGCTGACAAGAGACAAGATGCTTCCCCAGAACCCACTGAGAAAGTCCTGCTCTGGAGCTGGTAACCTGGATTCAGACTTCTAGCCTCCTAAATTGTGAGAAAATAAATGTTTGTTTCTCAAAGCTACCCCCTTGTGGTATTTATCTTACAACAACTCTGGAGAACTAAGATAGGATTTCAGACCTTCAGAAAGTCTCCTAGTACCAATTTCAGAAACCAGGGATTTCTAGGACCAATGCCCCATGCTTAATGAGGCTTGTATAACACCAACGGGGTCCTGGTGGTGCAGTGGAGAAGCACTTGGTGCTAACTGAAAGATTGGTGGTTTAGATGCACTGGACACTGGTCAGAAGAAAGAGGAGACAGCCTGCTCCCATCAAGTTTGACAGTATTAGAAATCTTGTAGACAGTTCCACTCTGTCTACAGGGTCAACTTGATGGCTGTGAGTTTTGGTTTGGATCTAGTATACAGTGTGGTGCTGTGGGCTAATGAGCCAGATTGCAAAGCTGTTTGAACTGCAAAGTCGCGGTTCAAGCTCACCAGCAGCTTCTTGGAAACCCTATACAGGGTTGCTATGGGTCGGAACCGACTTGATGGCGCTAAACAACAACAACACACATAGAGTTTATGTGCATTATCTTTGTTGATCCTCACAACCCTGTACTATCATTGTTTCCATTTCTTATGTAACAAAGGAGAACATACAGACTTATAGAAGTTAAGTTACTTGCCTACAGCTGATGAGTGTGTAAGCCGGGGCCTGAAAGAAGGCATGTGGGACTCCAAAGCCCATGCATGTAACCAATGGGCATTTTTCATTTGTTGTTATTATGTGCTGCGGAGTCGGTTCTGACTCATAGCAACCCTGCATAGGGTTTCCGAGGCTGTAAATCATTACGGTAGCAGAAAGCATCATCTTTCTCCTGTGGAATAGCTGGTAGTTTCGAATTGCTGACCGTGAGATTAGCAGCCCGATTCGTAACTACTACACTCCTAGAGCCCGCTGTTAAGTATTGTTCAGTGTAGTCAAGTCTGTACCAACTCATAACAGCCCCGTTTTTATGGTTTCCAAGGTTGTAAATCTTTGTGGGAGCAGAAAGTCCCATTTTTCTCCTATGGAGCAGTTGGTAGACTCGAACCACCAACCTTGTGGTTGGCAGTCCAGTGTTTGTCCTACAGAGCCAACACACTCCCTGTTTGCCCATTGTTGTTGTTGTTAAGTGCCATCCAGTACATTCCAAAGTGCCATCCAGTACATTCCCACTCATAGTGACCCTGTGGGGCTTCCAAGGAGTGGCTGGTGGGTTTGAATCACTGACCTTGTGGTTAGCAGTCCAGTGCTGCTTCTACAGGGCCACATCAGGACTCATTTGTTCATAGAGTCCTTTAAAAAGTCCTGTGAACATACTGATGTTAATAATGGAACAACTTAAAGTGAGAGAAGAGGTAGGTGGGAACTCTTTTTATTTCTGCGTAATTTTTTTTAATAAATCCAGAACTACTGTAAAAGTAGAGTTTATTTAAAAATCTAGGGTTTTACATTTTTTTAAAAAAATGGAATTCCTACTACTCTCTTAAAAATCAAAGTAACTAAAGACCTGGTCACATTTGGACCCATTTTCCTAGGTGACAGCCTTGTTGGCATCTAGGATACACACTGGACTGCTAACCTCAAGGTTAGCAGTTCAAACACACCAGTCACTCCAAAGGAGAAAAATGAGGCTTTCTGTCCTGTAAATATGATTTACAGCCTCGGAAACCGTAGACATTTTCTCCTACCTTCTCTGGTTTGCAGTCCCCTATTCATCCTGTAAAACCCAGCTCAAATGATGTCGTCTAAAATGTTCTAAGGAATATCTCATTTAATCTTCATAGCTGATTTCTGGTGGAGGAATTTTTACTCTCATTTTGCAGATTGGAAAACTGATGCTCACATAGTTAGTGGATGGAAAGAAACCACCCCAGTCCCTGAAAAAACAAACCCAGTGCCATCAAGTCAATGCAGACTCGCAGTGACCCCCCAGAATTGCTTCCTGGAGTGTCTGAGGTTGTGAAGCATTATGACAACAGACTGCTCATCTTTCTTCCAGGGAGACTGGTGGGTTCAAACCTCCAACCATCTGGTTATCAGCCCAACTCAAATCTAAGATTATAGAGTACCAAACTATGTGCTTATAACTCTCCTCTCATTAAAAACTGGGTGAGAGAGGGAGAAATAAAGATGGGGGGATGTGGGAGGGGGTGGAGGGAATATGAATTGGGATGGGGAGAGAGGGATGCCTCCTTGAATCCATCCAATCACCTGCTTCTCCCTCTGTACTTTGTAGTTGTTGCTCAAAGATTCATAAGCCTCTGGTAGGATCAGCATTGTATTGCAAACCACAAGACCATCAGTTCAAACCCACAAGCTGCTCCTCGGAAACCCCATATACAGGGTCACTATGAGTCCAAACCGACTCAATGGCACTTAACAACAACAAAATCTGCAAGAGGGACTCCTAGTCTGGTGCTGCAGGATAAGCACTGGATTACTAACCACAAGGTCAGTACTTCAAACCCATCAGCCACTCTTCAAAAACCCTATACAGGGCCATGAGTTGGAACTGACTTGATGGTATTTAAGTAGAGTAAGCACTGGACCAAAAGGTCAGTTTGAACTGCTATGTCAGCTGTTCAAATCCACCAGCTGCTCTTTGGAAACCCTATACTATGTGTTGAAACAGACTTGAGGGCACTTAACAACAACACCCCAAGAGATTCTGGAAAGCTGGCCCTGGCCTGCAAACCTCATTGGTTTTGTTGTCCAGCTTCATAATTTCCACTGGTTTCATTAATTTCTTCTGAAAGGCACTTCGGACCCTTTGCCAATCTTCTCCTTCCCTGGGGAGCCAAACAGAATGACAGTTGGAACAAACTGAAAACAAGAGCAAGGATCCCCCCAACTCCGCAACACCATCACCTATGTAACCAAGCGGAAGCGAAACTGTGTGCCAAGAAGATTGGCAAAATCTTGACTTTGGGGATGGTTTGCCAAGGAGGATGGGAAAGTACCTTTCTTCCACTGAGAGATTGTACCGGGAAGGTGAAATCATATCATTTGGATCTAAGGTTTCTGTGGTGCCCTGTCAGGGGTGGGGCTGGAAGGCTGGAGACTTTGAGTCATAGCAGTGAAAGTGAACGTGTGAACAACACTCTCAAACAGCAACCAAGGTGAGTGAGTTCAAACCTTGTCTTCTTTCAACCTAATGGCTTAGGCTTCATATTCACAAACCACCTCAAGTCTAGAATTTGTCTCACTGCCTCCAAATAACAACATACAGACTCAAACTCCTGTTCCCATCAAGTACCTTTATGGCATGTATATGTCCTATGGGTGACCATACAGGGTGTCCCACACCAGGTACTAACTTCTGTTTTTAAACCCCAGTAATAATTACAATTGTAGTGGTTACAAATCGGGCTGTGAACCTTAAGGTCAGCAGTTTGAAACTACCAGCTGTTCCGCGGGAGAAAGAGGAGGCTATCTGTTCCCGTAAAGATTTACAGCCTCGGAAACCCTGTATCGGGTCACTATGAGTCGGAACCGACTCCACGGCACATAACAACAACAACAACAATAATTACAATCAAGGAGCTCTGGTAGCATAGTGGTTACGAGTCGGGCTGCCAACCTCAAGGTCAGCAGTTCAAAACTATCTGCTGTTCCGCAGGAGAAAGATGAGGTGTTCTGCTCCCATAAAGATTTACAGTCTCGGAAACCCTGTGCAGGGTCACTATGAATCGGAACCGACTCCACGGTACTTCACAACAACAACAACAATAATTACAATCTGGTGTGGTGCTACAGAATCAGCACTGGACTGAAGACCACAAGCTCAGCAATCCAAGCCCACCATCTGCTCCTCAGAAACACTATACAGGGTTGCTATGAGTGTGAACTGACTCAACAGTTAGCAACACCACCAAAATTATTATGTGTAGCCCTGGTGTGGCACAGTAGGATAAGCACTGGACTGGTTCAAACCTACCAGCTGCTCTCAGAAACTCTACTATGCAGGGTTGCTATGAGTTGGAACCCATTCCAAGGCATACAACAATTATAATATGAAAAATGCAGCCATTAGGCATTGCAATTTGAGTGTAAACCAAAAGCGCTAACTTGCCCAATGTTAACAATTACAAACCAAGCAATCGTATTGTACTGTGCTGTTTAATCTTTCTGAAATGCAATTTGGCTTCCTCTAATCCCTGCTTTCCAATTATGCCTAGGGACATAACTGACCCTTGGGGGCAGGTCACTGGCAAAAGAAATTCAGTTCTGACAATGGAGCTTTCAAGAGCCCCAGGTCCTGTTGGTTTTAGAGGTTTTTTAGGGATATTTTTGTGTGCCACAAGTTACATAACCCTATTGTGCAATTTTTTAATGAAAGGGTGTGACCCTCTGCTCAGTAGCAAACTAACAAACAAACAAACAAAAACCACACAGGTGTTTGGTGCACTGCACAGCTCTTCACTCAACCCACTCTGGTCTGTGTAAAACTCCCTAACTCCCAAACAAACAAACAAACAAAAACCACACAGGTGTTTGGTGCACTGCACAGCTCTTCACTCAACCCACTCTGGTCTGTGTAAAACTCCCTAACTCCCACCCCATCTCAATTTCCCTGCACATCCTACTGTGCCGCCTGCCCTCACCCCATCACCTGGACTCACAAGATCAGCAGCCCATAAGCCTCCTTGCGGTAGTCTCGATAGGCCTTCCACGGTTTGATCTCCAGCCGCTGCGGATAGGCGCTCTCAGTGCGATACAACTCCTCCAGCAGGCAGGGAGAGCCCAGGTGCACGGAGTCGAAGGAACCCAATTTCATACGGAAAATCTTGCCATACTTCTTGTGGTACTCCGCCTGCAGGGCACAGCGCGGAGTCCGCGTGCATCCTTGGTGGCCACTACAAAGTGGCTCCTGTCTCCCACCTCCGTCCTCCCAGGGGTTCCCGACCGCCACCCGGACACTGGAGCGCAAGGTGCTCTCTGGCTGCGCTTCTCGGGGAGAGCTTGGAGAGCCGCTGGGAAGGCAGAGCAGGGATGGATGAGGGGCGTGGGGCGTAGCAAGGCATTTACCAACGTGTTGTGCTGTTTCTTGAGTCCCCCTTTCCAGAGAATCTCCAGCAGACTGCCCAGTAGAGGCCAACTGGTGGGGCCTGGCAGGGCGGTCGCGTTCTGCGCCTCGCCATGTGTCACCAGTGGGCAAAGGGGCACCTCTCGCGGCCGTGGGGGCGCGCACGCCTTTGAGGGCTCGGGTCTAAGTGATTGTCCAAGGCTGCGCAGCTGCTGCAGGAAAAGGGTCAGGGGGCGGCTGTGGCTGATGGGGAATCTCATAATAGGAATGGGAGGCAGCGCGTGCAAAGTACGAGGACTGGGCAGGACGATGATGCTAAAGAGATGCTGGTGGGATTGTGGGGCTTTCGATTCTGCGAAAGAGAGGCAAAAAGGAGCCCGCAGGTGTGATGGCGAGGGCGATGGAGGGGCGGGAACACGGAGGATGTGGATGAGGGAGTTCGATGCTGCACGGAGTGGCAGCCTCCGGGCGCGGGGTGTTGTACTCTGGGATCGAGCGCCTGCTGGAAGAGAAGGTGTGGGGATGCGGGCTCGCCTGTCCTTCTTCTGCACGTCAGACTTCTAGGATCCGGAGTAGCGAACTGGAGTTGTCACGGAGGAAGACGAGATGCGGCTGTCCCTGCTCTTTGCTCGACTGCTCCCCATCGCTCGGGTCCGGGGACCATGCATTTATGGAAACGGGGCAGGCTCGTGATGGCCAATGAGAACGCTGAAGTGGGGAGCAATGGGTGCAGGCTGGCCAGGCCACCAAGGTCGTGGGACGGGGGTTGGAGGGGTGGGGAAGAAGGTGGGAGATTGCAAAAGGATGGAGTCAGCGAGGTGAGCGAGGGCATTCGCGCCTCTGGTGACCGGCAGGAGCGCTCGGGCTCCACCCCGGAGATAACCCCCGGGAGGCTGGCCGCGCCTAGGGGTCAGCGAGTGTGAGCCGAGCCCGCCTCGCCCTCCCCTGGAGGTGGCAGCCGCGCTCTCGGGCGCTTGCACAATAGGCTGCCGGGAGGTAAGTTCTCCAAGTGCGGTCCCGGAAGGCTGCTGGCCTGCGCGGCTGCCTGCCTGCCCGAGCACCTTGGGAGAAGCCTTCTCTGGTCAGCCTGGGCTGACCTGCCTTGGGAGGAATGCTCACTGCCTGAATCTCCCGAGGGAGGGTTTGAGACGTCATGAAATGCATCCTAAGACCGATTTCGCCCTCTTGTCTTAACCTGGGCAAGAAGGGCGGCGTGTGTTGGTATAACTGCCTCCCTGCTAGCTGAAGATGAAACGAAAGTCTGCGTCCAGGCTAGGATTTGGTCCACAGCCAGCGCTGCTAGGAAGGGTGGCGGCGGTAGTAGTTGCAATAGTAGTAATAACCTCTTTAGGAGCTAAAATGCGCTGTGGGAGCGTGGCTTGCAATTGCAACTCTAAAATGGGGTTGGGTTACTTCCACCTTGTTCACCAACCCTCTCCCTATACTTAAATACCGACTCCTTTGTGCAAAGGTAAACGCAGCTTCAAACCACAGCCCCCACCCACCCTGCTCCACCGCCTACAAAGTCCACCCTAAGTAAGCGTGCACCCTACCTACAGCCTCCCACCCTCCATTGGCATGAGCTCAGCTGACGAGCATAGAACGCACTTGTTCATTCAGGAAGGGAAGTTGGAAATTGTTCTAATTGTTTTAAAAAGCTGTTCATTCATTCGGACCCAGCCTGAGCTCATTCATTCTGACCTAGCTCCATTCAGGGCAAATCTGGGGTGGGGGGGGTGCCCAGTCCTTTTGTGTCTTGTCTAACCTTTTCAGTTCCATGAATGACTCATGCTGACCATACTGTTGTCAAATCCTTTCCTGCTAAGTTTCTGGCAAACTATTTGGTTTGGTTTGGTTTCGTTTTTGGCTCTGAGCCATTCTTTTTTTTGTATTTATTTATTTAGACTCGATGTCATTATTTTTATTGATGTATTTGATTCGTTTTTGTTTTTTTTTTACTCAGCTTCATTATTGTTTTAATACACAATTTGTTTGATTTGTTACTGTTGAACATCAACACAGCAAAATGGTTCAACGTTTTCTACATGTACAGTAGCGTTGATGACATTCTTCAAGCTGTTGTTGTTGTTGTTGTCAGGTGCCATCGAGTCGGAACCGACTCATAGTGACCACATGCACAGCAGAACGAAACAGTGTCCGATCCTGGGCCAATCTCACTACCGCTGCCACACTTGAGTCCATCAGTGATGCCACCTGGCCAATCCATCTCGTTAGGGGTCTTCCTCTTTTTCTCTGACCCTCCACCTTACCCAGCATGACATCCTTCTCCAGCGACTGTTTGCTCTGGACTACATGTCCAAAGTATGAGAGACGAAGCTTAGCCATCCTGGCCTCCAAGGAGCACTCTGGCTGCACTTCTTCCAAAACAGATCTATTGGTTCTTTTGGCAGTCCATGGCACTTTCAGTATTCTCCTCCAACACCACAACTCAAAGGCATCAATTCTTCTACGGTCTTCCTTATTCACTGTCCAGCTTTCACATGCATATGAGGTTATTGAAAATACCATGGCTTGGGTCAGGCGCACCTTAGTCCTCAAGCTGACATCTTTGCCCTTCAATACTTTAAAAAGTTCCTGTGCAGCAGATTTGCCCAGTGCAATACGTCGTCTGATCTCTTGACTGCTGCTTCCGCAAGTGTTGATAGTTGATCCAAGAAGAATGAAGTCCTTGACAACGTCAATCTTTTCTCCATTGATAAGAATGTTGTTTATTGGTCCAGTGGTGAGGATTTTTGTTTTCTTGACATTGAGATGTAATCCATATCGAAGGCTGTGCTCTTTGATCTTCATAAGTAAATGTTTCAAGTCCTCTTCACTTTCAGCAAGCAAGGTTGTATCATCTGCATATCGCAGGTTGTTAATAAGTCTTCCTCCAATCCTGACGCCACGTTTCTCTTCATAGAACCCAGCTTCTCATATTAATTGCTCAGCATACAGGTTGAATAAGTATGATGAAAGAATACAACCCTGTCTCACACCTTTTCCAATTTTAAAACATTCAGTGTTCCCATGTTCTGCTCGAACAACTGCTTCTTGGTCTAGGTACAGATTTCTCAGAAGTACAATTAAGTGTTCTGGAATACTCATACTTCTCAATGTTGTCCATAGCTTGTCATGATCCACACAATCGAAAGCCTTTGCGTAGTCAATAAAGCATAGGTAAACATCCTTTTGGTATTCTCTGCTTTCAGCCAAGATCCATCAGACATCAGCAATGATATCTCTCGTTCCACGGCCTCTTCTGAATCCAGCTTGAACCTCTGGAAGTTCTCTGTCAATGTATGACTGTAGCCATTTCTGTATTACCTTTAGCAAAACTTTGCTCGCTTGAGATATCAAAGAGATTTTCCCATGATTTCAGCTAGTGTTTCTGAATTGTTTTTCCTGCATTAACAGAAAAACTCCGGTTATGAATCAGGTTGCTAACCTCAGGGTCAGCAGTTCAAAACTACCAGCTGTTCTGCGGGAGAAAGATGAGGTGTTCTGCTCCCGTAAAGATTTATAGCCTTGGAAACCGTGTACAAGGTCACAATGAGTTGGAACCAATGCCACAGTGTATAACAACAACAACATTGTTTTCTAGCTAATCTTTTGAGTTGTCAATTTGATCCCATATAAGGAGCTCTGGTAGCGTAGTGCTTATGAATTGGGCTGCTAACCATACTGTCAGCAGTTCAAAACCACCAGTTGTTCTGTGAGAGAATAATGAGGCTTTCTGCTCCCGTAAACATTTACAGCCTCGGAAACCCTGTACAGGTAGTTTCAAAACTTCTGACCTAGCAGTTGGACTCGTAAGCACTACGCTACCAGAGCTCCCTGCAGGGTCGCTATGAGTTGGAGCTGACACTAAGGCACTTACACCAACAACATGTAATGTATAACATTTGTATGCATTTTCCCTGGTTGTTATCTGCCATTGAGTGGGCCCTGTGCTCCTGGTGACCATGGTGATCCAGGACTTTCCCTGACTGATTGTCAGCAAAGGATCACTGAAAGTTGACCTCTAGACTCTTAGTCTGGAAGCATCAAGGAAGAAACCTGTTTAGCAACATGGATGATCCCAGTGGTGGTTCGGTGGTAGCTGAACATAAAGTGCTTTGGTTGGAAATTGAACCCAGGCTTCCCTCATGGAAGGTAAGAATGTGCCTACTGAGCTACTTCTGCCCTGGTATTTTATATTCTAACATTATATAATCCAAGAAGCTGGACGATATGCAAAAGAACACAGAATCAGGATTGGAGAAGGCTTATTAACAACCTGTGATGTGCACAACCTTGCCTGCTGAAAGTGACGAGGACTTGAAATACTAATGCTGATTAAAGACGACAGCCTTCAGCATGAATTACACCTTAACATAAAGAAAACAAAAATCCTCACAGCTGGACCAATAAGCAATATCATGATAAACTGAGAAAATATTGGCAGCATCAAGGATTTTATTTTGTTTGAACCCACAATCAATGCCCATGGAAACAGCAGTCAAGAAATCGGACAGTATACAGCATTGGGCAAATCTACTGTACAAGACCTCTTTATAGATGGAGCTGTTGGGGACTTTAGACCCAGAGAGGGAGAGGAGCTGTGTGCTGATGACCGGGGGGCATGCTTGTAGTGTGTACCCTTTGGATGGTTGATGATGCATGGAGGGGATTGTAACCATAGCAATGAAACGATATACGATAGGATGAATGTAAAACGAAGGTTCTCCCATGTAAACTATCACATAATTCACAATAAAACCTTAAGGAAAAAATAAAAGACCTCTTTATAGAGATATGGTGTTGGAGTTGTTGTTGTTAAGTGCCGTCGAGTCGGTTCCGACCCTTAGCAACCCTGTATAGGGTTTCCGAGGAAGAATATTAAAAAGACTGTGGATGCAAGAAGAACCAACAAATCAGTGTTGGAAGAAGTACAGTGAGATAATGCTCCTTAGAATTGGGGTTGGCGAGACCTCATCTCTCATACTTTGGCTATGTTATCAGGAGGGACCATTCCCTTGGAGAAGCCGTCTTGCTTGGTAAAGTGGAAGGTCAACAAAAAAGAGGAAGGCCCCAGTGAGATGGATTGACACAGTGGCAGCCGCGGTGGGCCCAAGCATAATTGGTGACTTTGAACTGTGGTTTGCAGCCCAGCATGTATCCTTTAGCACATGGCTCCTTCTGGTGTGGGGTTGTTGTTGACAAGTGCCAAGAAGTCATTACAACTCATAGCCACCTTGTATTGGGGTTTCTAAGGAGT